CATTTGGGGTCGATCGACCATTTCACGGGGGTCGCCAAGCAAGGCTGTCTGCCATTTTTTTTGTCCGCCATTTTTTCCCCTTTTCCGGCGGGTGCCTTACCTCCCTTGGGCTGGGCCAGCTGGTGGTCGGCCTGCTCCGTCTCTGCCGCTTGCCAGCTACGCCTCGGCCGGCGCAGGGGGCGGAACCACGCATGCGCGGTGCTCCCGGGCAGGGAAAGTCCTTGACTTACGACCGGTTGGGTAGTCCTCGACTTACGACCGGTTTAGTCCTCGACTTACGACCGGTTGGGTAGTCCTCGGCTTACGACCGGTTTAGTCCTCGACTTACGACCGGTTGGGGTCGCGGCATTAAAAAGGTTGAGAACCACTGTTCTAGTACATGTTCAGTCTTGCTTGCTAATTTGTATACTTGCAAAGAGGGCTAGTCCATGCCATTTGCTTTTCTGCAATTCTCTCCCACATGACGCCTTTCAGACTTATTAGATAGTATTATTGTTATCAAAGAGTTAGTTGGAGTGGTGGTGAAGGCATCAGCTAGAAATTGGAATATTATGAGTTCTAATCCCACCTTAAGCACAAAGCTAGCTGGGTGGCCTTGGACCAGTCCCTCTCTCAGCCAGGAAATCTTCCCAAGAAAACTGCAGGGACCTGCCCAGGTAGTCGCCAGGAATCAACACTGACTTAAAGGCCATGATCATCTATCCCAGCGTTTCTCAACCTTGACAATTTTAAGGCATGTGGACTTCAACTCCCAGAATTCCACAGCCAGCATTGCTGGCTGTGGAATTCTGGGAGTTGAAGTCCACATGCCTTAAAATTGTCAAAGTTGAGAAACACTGATCTATCCAAAGAGCCACCCCACGAACCCGGGTCTGAGGCGTTTATTGTGACGCTGAGGCTGTGCAGAACCCTCCGTGATCACGTGTGGCCTGAGGAGACTAACGCAGTCCGGCAAGCTTTACCTCCTCGTAGCCTCCGCCCGGCGGAGCCTCAGCGGGTCATCTATTCCTGCCTGACGAGCGGAAAGAAAACCCAGCATAGCCGAAAGGAAGAACCAGCGACTGCGACGCCACCACGCCGCGAAATCATCTCGCGCCCATTGGCTCAAAGCGTCGCTCTCTTAGCCAACAAGAAACCTTGGTATTGAAACGTCATCGGTCAGAAAAGGACCGGCTCAGAATGCCTCAGCGTCGAACGCGTCAGGTTCAGAAGCATATAGAGCAGGGGTAGTCAACCTTGGCTCTTTTATGACTCGTGGACTTCAACTCCCAGAATTCCTGAGCCAGCTTAGCTGGCTCAGGAATTCTGGGAGTTGAAGTCCACGAGTCATAAAAGAGCCAAGGTTGACTACCCCTGATATAGAGAAACGTATACGAAAAGATACGAAAAAGCAGCTTCTCCTTTGACTTCAAGTGTACATTTGAAATATTTCCATTCTCCCAAAATGCTGTCCAAAAGATAATTTTTCACATGAATGTTATTAACAGATAGCCATTCAGCCGTTAGTAAAATAACTTTTTTTTAAAAAAAATCAACGTAGGATGTGTTTTCTCTTCAACTTTAGTATCTCTAATAAACAAGATGGACGTTCTGGGCCTGAGGGAGGTGTAGGCGTGGCTTCTGACGGAAAGGGGCGGGCGAGGATTTATTCCTGCGTGTTTGTTCCACTCGTGTGCTGATATTTTGGGGGGGGGCGCGATTGCGGTTTGCGGCCTCGCAACGCCCTTCGCCTGGGATGAGCGGCGTATGGCGGTTTTGGCGCTTGCTAAAGCAGCGCTTTATCGGGCCAGGGAGCGAGTACGTGGGCATCGACCACTTTGGAAACACGTATTATCGGATCCCGCAGCACAAAACTTGGGCAGGTGAGCGAGACGAGATGGTCGCCTACGGTCGGTCGTATTTACGCTCCACTTCGTCGCTGGTTTTATCCAAACCGGGGTTTCCTTAATCATAGTTTATAAACTAAACCATCATTGGCTGGCATCCTACAGTTGGCTAGGCAGTAAATTATGGTTTGTGATCTAGAATAGCTGTATATACTAAATATATACTAAATATAATATACTAAAATAAGTTAACCTGAGCCGCAGCCCGATTAAAAGTGGCATAAACAAAGTTAGTTCTTTAAATGTAGGCGCGTCTGGACAGTGCCTTGGCCAGTTTTCTCCCAACACTGAGAGTCGAAACTTAAGAGTCGAAACTTCTGAGATCGTGCAATTTGAACAAACGTGATTTGCACAGTTCAGTCAGCAGCATGAAGCAAAAATGTGTGTATCTTATAAAGTATCTTTATACATTAGATATATTTAAGTCTTATCAAAATTTACAAGTCAGTAAACTTTATGTATTAATCCCTTAACCTTACGAGAATTCAGTTCCTATCTTCCCATCATAAAAATAGGTGCCCATATAGGCACAATTTCTGAATCCCAATTATTTTTTAGATTAATATGGCCAGAAATGTCATTTTTTATTTATATCGTAAAGATGAGCACCTGAATTTCAGGCATATATAGTTCTTTCTCCCTTTTTGCCTTTTGCATATTGAAAAGAAAGTTTAAAATTTTTATTTCCAATCTTTGTTACTTTTAACCATATAATATTCTGAACTACCTAAAGTGATTCATAATTGTTGCTGAATTTCAATATACTTTGCTGTAATAGGGTCATTTATTTTTGTTTGGCAGATAAACCAGAATTGGCTAGATTTACACAACATACTCAGCCAATTGTGGTTTACCCAATAAATAATGGTTTATCACAAAGTATGAACTACAGATGAATGGAAGCTTCATATTTCCTAGCTTTTGGAGAAAGAAGAAAAATAAGAATGCGGCAAAACAGAATGTCCACTCCTTATGCCCATAATATAAACTGTTATATTAAGCTATTAATGCTGTTGCAAGAATTTTTTTTAGATATATATGGCTACTGTATTCACTGAGTGACTCTAGTAGACTATTTATAATTTGTAGAAACATAAGCTCAAGGAATTTAAAATAAAATAAATATTTGGAATACAATGTCCAATAGGATAATAGAATAACAGGAATAAAAATAGAATTGATGAAAGTTAATGCACACATATCTCAATCAAGATCTTTCATTATAGAAGTGCTTATCCGACATCCTGGCCAAATTGCAGGGGAAAGAATGAAGTTTTCAAGGCTTTAAAGAAGGACAGAAGATTTGTTTCTTTAGTTATAGCGTTTCTGAAAAAACTGTAAGGGAGAAAATGGGAAGAGAAAAGGATTTGTACTGAACTCTTTTCATACACCCCCATGATACTTGGCATTAAACATCTGTTTATTATCAAATCCTGAAGCAGAGGATAGGAGTCAGTCATCTCCAAGGAATTAACCATGGCAAATTCCAAATAGAATATCACTGCTGAGTTGAATATGCCATGGTCACAAAATTCAAATGTATTAAATTTAGAGGAATGTGAGTTTATGAATAAAGAATGAGAAATATTTGGAATCTGTTGCTCAGTACATTAGAAAAAGTCACAGTGATGTCTGAAATAAAATAATCTATAGAATTTAACTATAAGCAAAATAAAAATTAAGGAGCCAGATTAACAGCATAATAAAATAGACTGGCGCACTGGGCTAAGTTAAGAATCGCCTGACATGTGTTCTGCTGTTTATGCTAAATTGCTAAGTGTTTATTAAGTTAAAAGAGTACAGGTAGTCCTCGCCCTATGACCACAATTGAGCCCAAAATTGCTGTTGCTAAGCAAAACATTTGTTAAGTGAAATTTGCCCCATTTTACTATCTTTCTTGCCACAGTTGTTAAGTGAATCATTGCAGTTATTAAGTTAGTAACATGATTGTTAAATGAATCTGGCTTCCCCATTGACTTTGTTTCTCAGATCACTAAAGGTGATTGTATGAACCCTGGGACACTGCAGCTGTCATAAATGGGAGTCAATTGACAAGCATCTGAATTTTGATCACATGACCGTGAGGATGCTGCAACGGTCGTAAGTGTGAAAAACAGTCGTCACTTTTTTCAGTACCTTTGTAACTTTGAACGGTCACTAAATGAACTGTTGTAAATTGAGGACTACCTGTATTATAATGTGATATCAGGTTATTAATCATCTTCCACAATATTTTTGCTATAAAATAGATTGCTTTGAAACTTAAGTCTGGCTAAAAATGTGCTATCACTTTGGTCTTCTTAATGGTAAATATTTGATGTTTGAAATAGTAGGAATATGTATCTTGACTTAAGATTTATTAATGGAAAGGAAAGGAAAGTATAAAATCCTTTATATTCTTAATTTTGGCAGTATAGTATTCTTTGATAATAGTAAATTATCAATGATTACATCATATTAAGTTGTTACCGTATGTAGTGAATTTTTCTGACTGGGCCAGAGTTAATCACTTTTCCATTTGATGCCTTCTAGTTTCATTACCAGAAATAAACATCTTCTAATGAATAACCATAATAGCCAAAGGTTGAGTTGAGACAGTACATCAAGTTGTATACTGTGGTTCATAATGGTTTTGTTCTTAAAATACAACCATATCAACCTCAAACCAAACCAAACCAGCTTTGCATAATATGTGTATTCAAACACATTCTCTGACAAAATTGTCACTGCGCTGCACTTCTATTAAGAACAAATAGGGGCAGAATGCAAATTAAATTGATTTATTTTTAAAGAACATTACTTAGATACAGTTGATATGATTCTTTTGCCATGTATTTGATAAAGTCCCTTAAGGACAACTCAAGGGCAGTCCTAGGACTGCAGATTATAGGCAATGATTACAAATCACGAAACTATTATCTAATTGCAAAATCAGCCTGCAGTTTAAAGAAAGACATTAATATTGATGTTTATTTTCATACATGTTTCCCAACTAGACATATTTGCAAAGCAGTTTTCACTCTACATATAGAAATTTGTGCTGCAAACAACATAAAAGGAAAAAAGATGCATCCTAATAGATAGCTAAAACAGTGGTTATCAACACTTTGGTCTTAGGACGCTTTTATATCCTTAAAATTAGCAAAGAGTTTTGGTTTATATGGGTTATACTTATCAATATGTACTGTATTAGAAATTAGAGGTAAGAAATTTAAAATTATTAGACTTTATGGATCCCCCGAGAGGGATTAGGGAGTCCCAGTGGTCCTCAGACCAGACTTTGAGAACCATTATTGTAAAGCATATTTCTATTCTGATCCAGTCAGTTTGTGAAAAATAAACTAGGAGTGTTTGCTTCAGAATGTAGTTTGAACAAATATTTCCGTACAGTATTTAGCTCAGCATGACTAAATTTGAACCTGACATTTGAACCTAGGTTTGAGAGTATTAAATGATGTGCCAAAAGAGGGGAAAAATGGAGTTACACAAATGATAGTACCGATATGAAACAAGTTATAGGTAACAACTTGCATGAACTGGCTTTTTCTCTACCTGCTAAGAGACTCATAAACATTGGTGCACAATGTATTGGAATGATTAAAATTATTGGAATAAGCAGATGTTTATAAAGACAGATTAAAGGGAATATTGTATATAAATATAATTGTATATAAATATAATAGTTTTACAAAGCTATGATATTAGTCAATTCATTCGTTGATCACTGATTAACCACTTTTTATTTCTCCCTCCTACCATTCCCCAATTATATAAGTTCATTGTACTTGCTATGATTTTATTATATTGCTTAAGTATTCCAGAATTGTATCCCTCGATATCCAAAGTGGTAGAAAAGAAATAAAGAATCCAAAACTGTATACTGTAATCTGTGAATTGTATTACCAAATTATTGTACAATCTGATACACTGGATACAATTTATAAATGTTAGATTAATTTATTTTTTGTAGTAAAGTTAATTTTTTTCACAATGAGCTTGTCTCCTGGTAACTGGTGATATGTTTCTGCAATTTTCAATTTGTTCTTTAAAAATTTGTGTACTATTTGTGTCCAGAAGAAGGCAGTGTGGTTTTAGAAAGATTTATATCAGCAGCATATTTATAATACCCTGCATTGTGCAAAGGAGAGGCAGTAGTTTCTTCAGAGGTTATGCTGGTAAACTTATGTGGAGAATACTATCAATATACTATAGTTATTGGTTCACACATTTTTTCTTTTTAAAGTAATTGTTCTTGTAGTATTGTTCAAACACTACATTGAATAATAGTGGCTACAGTTCCATTTTTTGTTTTCATTTTTTTAATAACATGAAAAAATTGGAAGAAAGAAAAAGTCTGTTATATATGATTAAACTATCCCATGTTATTTATGACAAATAATATTTTTATTTCTTTATTTGTCAAATGTATTTGCCGCCCAACTAGTGGTTCAGGAAACTCTTGAGTTTTAGTCTGTAAAGTTAGAATAGTTAAGCTGCCAGGCTGCATTAGGATGGTAACTAAACATAGCCAGAATTACAGCATGAAGTAGATGTAATCCAACAATTAAATATAATAAAGGAGGGCATGCATAGAATATGATCTCGGTGACAGATCTTACTCTATCGATACTCTGTGGGGGGGGGGAATTGTTGAATAATAGTATTCCAGTAAATCACAATTTTCTGTAACTCTTATCTTACTACAGCTTTTCTTCCTGTCATTTATCCCTATCTTTCATATATATGAAAGTAAGGAATGTTGAGTAAACAACATTAGGGAGAGCGTAGACCCGTGGTGGCGAACCTATGGTACACATGCCACAGGTGGCACGCAGAGCCCTCTCTGTGGGCACACACGCCGTCGCCCCAATCCTAGGCCTTCAGCTGGGTTTTATAAAACCTTTTAGCTTTAGGTCTCCGCCGCCGTAGGCAAAAAAAAAAGGTTTAATCAATCAATCAATTTCAACTTCTTGTGG